CCACCACACCTGGCTAATTTTTTGTATTTTTAGTAGAGACGGGGTTTCACCATGTTAGCCAGGATGGTCTCGATCTTTTGACCTTGTGATCCGCCTGCCTCAGCCTCCCAAAGTGCTGGGATTACAGGCATGAGCCACCACGCCCAGCCACAAGTGGGAAGAAATCTTAAATGACATCATGTACAAGGGGAACAGGTCCCAGTAACATCTTTAACGTTTTAGGCCTTAGTTAGGGCTGCTTTGGCCCTGCTCTACACAGAAGAGCCTAAAAAGGGAAGGGAAGAGGAACCATCACCTACCTTACCACCTCCTCCTCCTCCCTCAGCCCCACCATTACTAGGTAAAGGTGCCACAGAGGAGACAGAGGTTTTTCCTGAGCCCCCTCCCCCAATAAACTGGGAAGAAGACAATGCATATACTGCAGTTATGGGACCCTGTCTTAGGCAAGCAGCATTAGAAGGGGAGCTCTTGGCCAGGATCGGTGGCTCACGCCTGTAATCCCAGCACTTTGGGAGGCCAAGGTGGGTGGATCACGCGGTCAGGAGATTGAGACTATCCTGGCTAACATGGTGAAACCCCATCTCTACTAAAAGTACAAAAAATTAGCTAGGCGTGGGGTGGGCACCTGTAGTCCCAGCTACTCAGGAGGCTGAGGCAGGAGAATGGCGAGAACCCAGGAGGCGGAGCTTGCAGTGAGCGAAGATCGCACCACTGTACTCCAGCCTGGGCAACAGAGCAAGACTCCATATCAAAAAAAAAAAAAAGAAAGAAAAGAAGGGGAGCTCTTAGTCTGCCCAGTGATGCAAAATCAACAAGGCAATCAGGTACATGAACCCATTACTTTCAACACTTATAAAGAAATAAGAGAAAGCATTAGAGAAAACAGAGCCGCTAGCACATTTACGAGAGGACTGATTGAGGCCATAGCAGACAACTACCATATGACCCCTTTCTAATAATGGCCAATTATGTATTCAATAGTCACCTAAGGACTCTCGTTCTGCCTCATGTGCGCACTGGCTCCTAAGCACATCAAAATTTTCTGAAAGGCAAGACAATACAGCTCCATTTTATATATTCTACAGTACTCTGGACACACAGCAGTAATGAATTGTAAGAATCTGAATTGGGAGCTAAAATATCTGGGTCGTAGGCCTACTCTGCCACGATTTTCTTATTTGCAAATATTAGAGCTGAACTAGATGACCTCAAAGGCTCTGCCCAACTCCAAAACCTACAATTCAATGGCTGACTGATATACATTCTACACTCTTTAAAAACAATTAAAATCATAGAAGATAATAAGTGTATCATATATTATACAACTATTATACACGTGTGTGTGTGTATATATAGAGAGAGAGACAGACATCTATACATAGACATAACCATCAAATCAGTCAAAATTTCCAACAGACACTTATATTTCCAGTCCATCAGATGACTAAAAACATCCACAAATTCTGTATCCCTCTATTTTATTCCTTCATCCTAACAGCTCTGTCAAGAAGAGATATTTACATGCGCTTCAAGAGGAATTAGTTATAAAATTACTGCAATCTTCAAACCAGAATGCCAGTTAAAACAAAAAAAATTACTGCAACCTAAAACCTGCTGAGCCCAGGCACATGCCTGCTTCCACCCTCAAAGCAGCTGGCCACTTCCCATTGTTTTATCATTTGCCTTCTGGTACCACTATCATCATCAGCGTTAATGCAAATTACTTGTGGGACACTGTGTTATATTTGCGGAACACTGTGTTATACACTGGGGATACCAAAAAGCTAAAGACTCACAGGGCTTACAATACATTTAGGGAGACAGAAACATCAGGAACAGTTACACAGCAATATAAGGAATAGTTTAAACACCAGATACATGGTTTCCTCTGCTGGTATTCAGAATGACCTTCTCCCACTTGGCAAGGATCAGGTCTATTTGTGTGACTTTGCAAAGCAAAGACCTGGGTCAACATTAGAATTAGGGAAAAGGCAAAACAAGACAGACAGGAATTATTTATGGGGGTACTACAAACCTATATTTTAGTTAGAATGTAAAGGCCACAGGAAAAATATTTGTTATATGACAACATGAAACTTCTGTAGTTGGGATTAGGCAATAATAGAAAAATACCATCTTGCACTTATAGTGAATTTATAGTTTTTAAAGTGCTTTGAGATATCTCGTAACTATATGAGGCTGATAAGACTAGACTTATTATATATTTCTT